CTTACACCCTTCTTTCACTTTTAGCTGGCCAATCCCTGACTCTGCTCATCCCTTCCTTGATTTCTCTGTTGCTATTTACTAATATTCCTTGCAAACCCACTGAGTCCCACAGCTTCCTTGACTTCATTTCCTCACATCCTGCTTCCTGTAAAGACTTCATTGATTCCCTCAATTTGTCCAACTTTGTCACATCTGTTCCAATGATACTACCTTCAATTAGCATGCAACCAATATATCCTTTTTCCTCAATGGAGGATCTTCGCACCACAGTGGGCAGGGCCCTCAAACATGTCCAAAGCATTTCCTGCACCTCTTCCCTCATCCCTTTCCTTCCATCCTAGAACTGGAATAGGGTCCCCCCTGTCATTGTTTTCCATTCCACCAGCCTCTGTATTCAAATGATTCAGTCCCCAGCATTTCCATCACTCTAGCATAATGCCATCAGCAAACATATCTTCCTCTCTCCTCTCAGCAACACAAGCTGGAGAACAGCATCTCATTTTCCTTTTAGGTACTTTACAGCCTTGTGGACTCAAAGTAGAGTTCAACAATCTCAGACCATGAAATCTGTCCTCGATTTTGTTTCCCCTGCCTTCTCTGTTCCCCACCCTTCCTTACAGCACAGTACTTTGGTTTTCTCGGTTTTGTTTTAAGCAGAACCAACCTACACACTACCATTAATACCCACTCCGGACCTGTCGAACTTCTCTACGACCACTACCACTCCCTGTGCCTTTTGTTCTGTGGCACCTGTGAATGCTAATCTCCTTCATCCTCTAACCTTTCTCTGGTCTTTCGTTCTGCTCCACTTGTTCCACCCCACCATTTTCTAGACTGTAAAGCTCATTACTCTTCTGCATATCTCTTCAGTTCTGAATTGGACTCGTAATGGCTGATTTTTTGTCTTCGGTTGCTGTCAGACCTGAAACATTTCTCTAGTATGTTGTGTTCACCTTGCTTTAACAGCAATGCTGTATCCTCTTATTACTGCATGTAATTGACAACTTAGACTATATATTCAAATTCAGGAATGGGGCCTGAACCCGCAGTTCCCTGATTTGACGACAAGAAAGCTTAGTTAAGACTAACAATGAGATGTGAGACCTTAAAAAATCCTGTTACAAATGTTTTCTTCAATATTACAACAAGCTTATTTCCACAAAGCAAATCTCATCCATCCAATACTAATCAAAATTTGCTCTTTCTGTTTGAAGATATGACAAGAATTGTAGGAAATTAACACAAATGTTGACCTCGATGGCGAAAGTGCTTGATTACATAATTAAATCTGCTATAACTCTTACCATTGATTGCCTTTTTCTTCTGTGTTGACAAATTCAAATGGATTAGTAATTTCCTGCTTTAGACACATAAAGCAGAGAAGGAGGCCATTTGGCCCATGGTAGTTATGTTTGCCCTTTGAAGAATTAGCCAATTATGTTCACCTCACTGCTGTAGAACATCAGTTTTTATCTTCTGAACTGATATTGTTAAGTCCATGATGTTTAAAAGAATCTGATACTTGATAACGAATTGTTAAAGTCAAAGGTCAATTTAGTCATTTACAGGATTAATTGTCAAGACTGAAAGTAAAGTCTACATAGCACTTGGGTAATGTCATAAAGCATTAACAAATTCAAATTTCTATATTTTGATGAGCTTCCAATTTCAGTCACATCATTATGGAGAAGTATTCAGCAGAGTTAGAAGGTTTCCTACATAGAGTGATGTAAAGCTAAAGACAGAGTCAGCTGCAGATTCCTATACTTGTTAGAAGATTGTTTCAGATTGATCCTTGGGAGTAGATCATGAACATAAAGATCTCTTCAAAGATTCAAAACTTGTGAGTGAGGTGGCATTTATTTAGGGGAGATTAGGAAGAACAAAGATCAATATCTAAATGCATTTCTTTAAGAAGATGTTGTACTTTCGATACATGGTACCCACTTTGGTTTCAGACTTTCAAGGTCCTCTCTTCCACCTATATTTGCTTTAACTTCAATCAATTTTCAGTAGTCAGGGTAAATAATCTGTGCTAATGATAACTAGCAAGGCTGGTTAGCTTAGTTAACTAAACGACAAGCATGGCAGATCTGATTAATATCCAATTTAAGACTGAGATACGGAGAAATTTCTTATCTTCGATGACTGAAAATGTTTGCAACTCTGTGCCACAGAAAGCTGTTGGTGCAGATTTCTTCTGTATATTCAGGGCTGAGTTAGATAATTTCTTGATGTGTCAGCACAGGCTTGAAGGCCAAAGGACCATTTCCTGTGCTGTACTGTTCTTTGAACTTCTTTGATCAGTAGGGCAATCAAGGGCTACAGGGAAAAGTCAGGAAATTGGATGTGAGGAATGGTGGATTAGCCATGATCATATTGAATGGCACAGCAGGCTCAAGAGGCCTAATGACCTACTATTGTTCCTATTTCTTATCATCTGATGGTTATGGGGAAACGCATGGAAGTGGAGTTCAGAATTATCAGTTCAGCCATGATCTTACTGAATAGTGGAGCAGACTCAATGTGTTGAATGGCCTACTTCTTCTTTTATGTCTTATGGTCTTATCCAAAGAGCAGGTTCAATTCCCATTCCAGCTAAGGTAGACTTCTGAGATAGTAGGAACTGCAGATGCTGGAGAATCCGAGACAACAAGGTGCAGGGCTGGATGAACACAGCAGGCCAAGCAGCATCATAGGAGCAGAGAGGCTGACGTTTCGGGCCTAGACCCTTCATCAGAAAAGGGGGAGGGGAAGGGGGTTTTGAAATAAATAGGGAGAGAGTGGGAGGCGGATAGAAGAGGGATAGAGGAGAGGGTAGGTGGAGAGGAAACAAACAGGTCGAAGAGGCGGGGATGGAGCCAGTAAAGGTGAGTGTAGGTAGGGAGTTAGGAAGGGGATAGGTCAGTCCAGGGAGGACGGACAGGTCAAGGGGGCGGGATGAGGTTGGTCAGTAGGAGATGGAGGTGCGGCTTGAGGTGGGAGGAGGGGATAGGTGGGAGGAAGAACAGGTTAGGGAGGCAGGGACGAGCTGGACTGGTTTTGGGATGCGGTAGGGGGAGGGGAGATTTTGAAACTTGTGAAATCCACATTGATACCATTGGGCTGCAGGGTTCCCAAGCGGAATATGAGTTGCTGTTCCTGCAACCTTCGGGTGGCATCGTTGTGGCACTGCAGGAGGCCCAGGATGGACATGTCGTCTGAGGAATGGGAGGGGGAGTTGAAATGGTTCGCGACTGGGAGGTGCAGTTGTTTATTGCGAACCGAGCGTAGGTGTTCTGCAAAGCGGTCCCCGAGTCTCCGCTTGGTTTCCCCGGTGTAGAGGAAGCCACACCGGGTACAGCGGATGCAGTATACCTCTGATTGGTAGACTTCTGATTGTTTATCAATATGAGGTGTGTCCCTCACGCTATATAACCAACTGCTACCCCCCCTCTCTGCAATAGAGAAATACTTATGATTTCTTACAGACAACAGCTAATGACTTACCAACCCAATGATAACTGGATTACAGAAAACTACTGTAAGTGAGTTTGATTGTGTTGTTTCTCATTGTCTCATTCCTGTGGGAATATATTTTATTCTGGTCAATTATTATTTTTTCTCTTTTCCACCTATTTAATTTGTTTCCGTCCCAAATCTCTGCTTATGATGCAGCACAAATGTAAGTTAGTCTGAGGATACTTCAACCTTTCCTCCCTTTCTTTCTTTAAGGGTATAAGAGACCTTCAGTTCTCAATGTTGTTAGATGGCACATACATGAATGAGAATGTACTGCATGGAAAACAATGGGTTAAAAACAAGGATCAAAATACTTCCTTGGGACAAACCCACTCCTCTCTTAAAAGTATAATCTTTGGAAGACAACAGTGGCTATATTGAAAGAATGAATTCATACAGCATAGGTAATAATGGTCACCCCACTGACATCACCAGTGGGTCTTGCAGGAAACATGCTGGTGGAAGGCAACAGAGTTCAATAGAACTCTTATCCTTTCATGCAGTTTTGGAGGCACAATTGACTCTATTAACCAGCACCATCCACTTTTTACAGGCACACAGAGGACGAAAACTTACCTGTCTCCTTCATTGTATTTAAAAATAAGAACTCATTGTATTTAAAAATAAGAACTATGTCAAATTCCAACCTGCTTTGTGCACATGCACTGAAACAAATTGGTAGGATTGGTACAGTAGATGGACTCTCATTCCGCTGGTGAAAATAGCTATTCACCACCATGTCTATGAAGACTGGAAGGCAATCTGTACAGGTTTTGGTAATCTACTTTGCATGCTCTATCATCTCCAACAAATGCTCTCTGGCATTTTCAGAAAATACAGCATCAGCTGTACTCTAACATTGAGAAACCCAGAAAGCAGAGTCTGATTCTTTGTAAAGCAGAGATTTCATTTTCAATCAAACTCTGGAAAAATGTGCATTTATTCACCATTAATTGCTGAAGTTGTACATATAAGATAATTGGGCATTCCATAATGTCAAAAGCAGACAGTCACTTATCCTTGAGCAATTCTGTAATTTCTTAATTTTAGTAACAAGATGAAAGGAGATTAGATGGGAAAATGGTCCAGCTGAGACATGTGTCATTAATTATTACAATAACCAGACACAGCAAATTATAATAGGCACATATAATGAAATCATTGAAATGGGCTTTTAAATATAGCTTGAATAAAAATAGCTGATTAAAAAAAAAATCACTGAATTGACAGAAAACATAAGAAATAACCAGCTGTTAACAAGGCCAGTGAACTTCGATTCTAAGCGTATAAGAAGTCACCAATATGAGTCCTTTCCCTCTTATTCTGGCTGGAAAACAAACACCACTCCTTAGGTTTTATAACCCACAATCCACACAAGGAATTCTTTCCTACAGCTTTATTTTCTGTAATTCAAGGCACCGAACTACAAGCTACTTGGCCAAGACCCTATACTCTTTAGTAGGAGCTACAGGGAAGGGCTCTCAGCGGCCGTGCCTCACCTCTGGGTGCTGTAATCACAGGCCGATGATGATGTGTAAATGCCGTTCGAGGGGAGGAGGTCTGCGAAGGCGTGGGACTGCTGAAACCAGACTTCTCTGACTTCTTTAGTGTAGTAGGCGATGGCATTCCTGGCAAGAATGATCGATAAGTGCAATTTTAATAATGCTAGGTCATGAAACGACAGCCTGTGCAATGTGGAGGGGGAATGGGGTGTAAAAGCAGCATGAATTTGGGGAAGACAGAAGAGGAGGGTAAGGGAAGAGATTGCAGACAGAGAGAGTTAGGCAGCGCAAAAAGCATTCTGCATCATTCACGTTCTATGGTGCCTCAGCATGTTTACTTAGCAACTTCAAACAACATTCCTTGTCAGGTTAATAATAGAGGACAGAGAGTATGCATGCAAGAAAATGGCTTCAAGTATGAGCTACATTCATAAACCATGCCATTCTATCTAAACTAAACCTGCAAAAGAATTCCATTGGAGTTTTAGACTGAAAAATGCCAGAAGCGTCAAACTTCCAGTTGTTTCAAAGAATTCACAGAACGTACATTTAACACCATAATCGAGGATACTGCACAGCCATCTGGGAAACACCCAAAATACTCTACCAGGGAGTTGGTCTCATAAACCATGATTGGCAAAGCTACAGTTGGGAAATGGAAGTCAGGTCAGGAGTGAAACTTTTTCTGTAGCCTGTGGATAAATATGTAGTACTCTAATTAGCCCCTGAAAGTGTTAGGCAATACTTGTACCCTGGATAATCTGCTCAAATGCTTTTATTTTAAATGGTTTTTTACATGGGCATTTTATGTGGAAATGGGGTATTACCCATGCTGAACATTGTCGGGTGACGTGGTAACACACATACATAAGTAATGGCACATTGTCAAGTTTTAAATATCCTCAAGATAGACATACTCTGCTGATTTGATGTGTTGCTAAGATCCCAGGGTCTCCAAGTCAGACACACTATTTCTATGGAATGTTGTTATGCGCTAAGTATTCCCGAGCCAGACACAATCCGTTGCTATGATGTGTCACTAGGCTCTAAGTAACCCCTCATGAGACACAACACTGTTAATGTGACATGTTGCTAGGCTCCATGTAATCTCAAGTCAAACATATTCTACTACTATTGGCTAAACACAAGACCCCAAATAATTCCCTGTTAGATGCGCAATAACACAGAACAAGTTGCTCCTAAGTAGCCTGCATATTCACCGAATGTTATTCAATTGGTTCAATGACTACTTTCATAGTGTAAAAACATCTAAATTACAAATAGTTACATAATAAAACTGCAATAAACTCATCTTGGTTGTTTTCAGCAACATCCAGCTTTCATTCTCTCAAATTATTAATACAGAGAAGTTGCATTTCACTTTCAAGTCTCTCTTTGTTCCAATGTAATGAATTGACAAACAGTTCAATATTGGTAAAAAAAAATAATTACTTGAATGTACATCTGTAGACTTCAGCTGTGTGACCTTTGAGTTTGAGAGGTCACTAAAGAAATATGTTTCCGGATCTGAAAGAAACAAGCAGCAGAGGAATGGAGCAAATTTTTACATGTATTTATCGCTTAAATAATTTAAATGGTGATAAATGTACTTTCAATAACATCAATGAGGAGTTTGACACTTCTTTGGCATTTTATATGCACACTAACTTTCACCCAAGTTAATAAATATCATGCAATACATCCACTGCTGACTGCCTTTCTAGAAGCGTGTTCAGTGTCCGACTGCTTTAGAGTCAAATTGGCCACCAACATTCACACAGCAATGGAAAGGTGGTACAGTTAAGGTTTTTTCTTGTACACTTGTACTTTGCATAACCTCCAGTCCCATGGCATTAAAAAAATACATTCAATGTTTTAGACACAGACCCAATTCTCTGAAGGTCGCAAAATATTGGGGATCTCTACCATCAGATGGTGTCATACGAGTTCCTGATGCAGTTAATACCAAACAAAGCTGATAACAAATACACAACTTCGGCAGGTATTTACAACAGACACACAGAATGGAATCATTTGAGAAGTTTTAAATGCTGCAACAAACACAATCCTTTACAAATAGTTATGTGCCATTTAATTTTACTCATTTACATTCCAACCCTTCATTATTTGAACTTGTAGAATTTTCTTAAACCCTTAATTATGAAAATGATAATAAGTGAACACTGCCTGAAGTTATTAGAATAATGAAGACAAACACAATTATTTTGTTATTTTATGAATACTAGTTTATCAGCTTATCCTTTAGAAATACCACAATTATACAAGTTATTTATGCAAAACAGCATTGAAAGATATGCATATTATTTACATGACATAAAAAGGTATTTAGGGAAAGATTTTGACAATAAGCAAATATACAATAGCATACAGTATAGACTGGAATCAATTTACGAGGTACATTGTTAAAATTAATGCCTAGTTCAGAGCTCGTTATTAAATCCAACAGATTACTGACAATTAACGTTCAAAAAATCTGCTGGTAAATTCAATGGAAGTCATTTTCCAGCCAATCATGGGTGGCAAAAATGGGAGGGAAACAGAAGAAAGGAGACTTTTTGCCTCCTCCAGTGTTTAAAATCAGTAACCTTTTCTGATTGTGTGATCTTTATCTCTTATTCTAGTAGTTTTCTTCGCCCTTATTAGTCAGAAGCAGTTGCCAAATTTAAAAAGGCCCTTACTGTTAAAAACAATACAAATTACATTGAGGTCCTGGCATTTCAAACTATTAGACTGATAGAATTTTGTTACATTTAGGATATTGGCAGTCGGTGTATCTGTGTAAGCATATCAAATTTCTTATCCTGAAGCTTCAGAGAACTTTATAATTGTGTAGGACAATTGGAAAGAAAATCTTATCTTCCATCATTTCTGTAGCCATCACCCAATGACACCTAATGAAAATGTTTGCTGTAAAGTTGTAAAAATCAAGAACCTACCTTTATGGGTTCAGAATTCATCATTAAAGTAGTCACATAATTATAATAATTCACACTGATACACCAAAAAATATTCCAAGATGCTTTACTATTAAAAAGCATTTGACATCGAGCCACAGAAGATATCAAGACACGGGACGGCACGGTGGCTCAGTGGTTAGCACTGCTGCCTCACAGCGCCAGGGACCCGGCTTTGATTCCACCCTCGGGCGACTGTCTATGTGGAGTTTGCACGTTCTCCCCGTGTCTGTGTGGGTTTCCTCCGGATGCTCCAGTTTCCTCCCACAGTCCAAAGGTGTGCAGGTTAGGTGGATTGGCCGTGCTAAATTGCCCATAGTGTTCAGGGATGTGTAGATTAGGTGGGTTATCGGGGGGTGGGTCTGGGCGGAATGTTCCATCGGTCAGTGTGGACTTGTTGGGCCAAAGGGCCTGTTTCCACACTGTAGGGATTCTATGAGATGACAAATGCATGCTTGAATAGAAAGGTTTTAAGGGACATCTCAAAGGAAGATGGAGTGATGGAGAGACAGAGGGATTTAGAGATGAATTCCTGACCTGAAGGCCTAATTGTGAACTAGTCAAAGCATGAACATCAAGCATTAAGTGATTGAAATCCTGAACTACAAGATGCTAGAACTGGAAAACTGTCAACATTGAGAAGGTTTGTAGGCCTAGCTGGAAGAAATTACATATAGAGAGGGGAAGTTGGGGGTGGGTTTTTTTTCTCTTTATTCATTCACGGGATGAGGGCGTCACTGGTGAGGCAGCATTTATTGCCCACCCCTAATTGGCCAGAGGGCAGTTAAGAGTCAACCACATTGCTGTGGGTTTGGAGTCACATGTAGGCCAGACCAAGTAAGGATGGCAGTTTCCTTCCATAAAGGACATTAGTGAACCAGATGGGTTTTTCAGACAATCGACAATGGATTCACGGTCATCATTAGATCCTTAATTCCAGATATTCATTGAATTCAAATTCCACCCTCTGCCGTGGCAGGATTCGAACCTGGGTCCCCAGAATGTTATCAGGGTCTCTGGATTAACAGTCCAACGATAATACCACTAGGCCATTGCCTCCCTTCAGGCCAGAGAGAAATTTGAAAAAAAAAATGAGAAATTTAAAGTTGAGACTTTGCCAGACCAGAAATCAGTGTATGTCAACGGGCCCAAGGGGGAATGGGTTTAGTGCGAGTAAGGACATGGGCAGCAAAGTCGCAATAAAAGCGATTGGTTCCCTGATTGGGTGACCCGTCTATCAGCTTGGTGGATGACGTGCCAATTGCTCCAAACTGGGGTCAGAGACATAGATGGATGGGGGCAAGGTGGCCTCTGAAGGACACCCCACAGCCCTTGCTTGTAACTCCTTTTTCCCCATAACCCCCACCCCATAACAGAAGAACACGAGCACATCCTCTTGCTTTTGGTTCCCGAGTACGACTCAACTGAGAAAAAAAACACCCACACAGTTCCAAAAAGGGAAAATAACAGCCATTGCATCAACAGTCTAGCTTGTGCTTGAGCTCATAAGTCACATCTATGCCTTGGAAGGCCATCTTTATTTACAAATGAGCTGCTGAGCCATAAGTCCCACAGTTCACAACTCAGGCTATCAGTGGAGCAGCAACAAGAAATGAATCAATTGGTCTCGATGCACTTTATTATAGAGGGGGAAATTGACAACTAAGTCCAGTATTCGGCAGCTGCCAGCCTCTCATTGGCTATCAGATTCCGGTAAACTGGACATTAATATTTAGGCCTACAAAAGGCTAAGAAACCCTCTAAAAGTCATCAGTCAGCTCTTGACAAGCTGATTGGCATGCAGTAGGTTAGGCTTTCTTGATAGTGGGGCTGGTGTTTTAGTTGACATCCAACACGCCCACCCCACACAATTTCAAAATAGGAAAATGATATCTGTTGCATCAACAGGCAAGTTTGAGCTTAATTTTAGGTCAGAAGTCACATCTATGTCTTGGAAGGCTATCTTTATTTTTATGTGACCACAATAGCCAGACTTATGACATTACAAACACGCTGCAATTTGGCTGAGCATTAATATTGCATTATACTTTTTCACCACCCTCCCTGCTCAGCTCCCTGTTTCTCCATAATGACAACAGGCAAAATTCTTATAATCTTCTTAATATATTCTTCATAATCATTGTGCAGCAGCAATGAAGATCATGCAAAATAAGATGTGAACATGGAGTAAAACAAAAGCATCCTGACCGCATTAACACTGTATCTGTGTTGAGGACATGGCAAGTCAGAGTAGAAGAAACAACGCGTCTATATTTCTGTCTACCTGCTTGTTGCAAATTCGAGTTTCCTGGACGTTCTGCTATGTTAACATCAGTTGATGGTTTGGAACTGACCATTTGTTACGGTCATTGAAGTGGATGTTGGATAAAGGAGTGGCAAGAAAACTAATCTATCCTGTTCTCCAATGTGGAACAACTGCCAGCTGTCTGGAACCATTACAATTGGTGAAGCAAAATAATGGCACTTTAATTTGCATTGAAGAAAGTCCCTTTTGTTGATCGTACATCTACAGGCTCAGGTAGAATGTTACTGAAGCAAGATATTGCAAAATGGTGTAAAAGGAAAACCAAAAAGCAGTGTTTAAGTGACTCCAAGGTTAGGTTTTAATAATCTGCCAATGATTGGAGGAACAAAGACAATAAAAAAGGCCACAGATGAGGTCCTGGTAAGGAATGAGTTAGAATAAAGACTATGATGAAATTAAGATTGATTACGCTGAGTGTATAAAGGAGGAAATGACTTTCAATACTATATTGGTAGTGACATAGTCAGTTGGAAATGTTTCCAACCATGGAATAGTTCAAAACTTTTAATTCAGGACTTAAGAGAAACTGAGTACACCATCAAGGAACTCTAACTAAATTGGAGTCGATGGGAATCAGGGGAAAACTCTCTGCTGGTTGCAATCAAACCTGGCACAAAGGAAGATGATTGTGGTAACTGGAGGTTAGTCACCTCAACAGGAGTTCCTCAGGGTAGTGTCCTGAGCCCAACCATCTTAAGCTGCTTCATCAATGATATTCCATCCATCATAAGGTCAAAAGTGGGCATATTCGCCGATGTTTACAAAATGTTCAGCACCGTTCATCACTCCTCAGATACTAAAGCAGTCCATGCCCAAATGTAGCAAGACTTTGGCAATATCCAGATTTGGGCTAGAAAGCGGCAGGTAACATTTATGCCAAAAAATGACCATCTCCAGCCAATCAAAATCCAACAATCACCACTTGACATCCTTTGGCATCACCATCACAGAATCAGTCATTAGCAACATCCTGGCGGCTTACCATTGACCAGAAACTGAACTCGATTAGCCATTTATGCACTGTGGCTATAACAGCAGATCTTAACTTAAGAATACTGCAGTGAGCAACGTACCTCCTGACTCCCTAAAACCTGTCCAAGATCCACAATGCACAAATTAGGAATGTGATGGAATACTTCACACTTGCCTGGATGAGTGCAGCTGCACAACACTCAAGAAGCTCGATACATCCAGGACAAAACAAATCACTTGATTGGCTCCCCATT